CGACGTTGACGTCGCGGGAACAGGGGGAGGGGTTAAGGGTTTAGGGGCTAGGGGTTAGGAGGTCGGTGTTCGGGGTTCGGGGGTAGCGTGTTAGGGGTTAGGGGTTAGGGGTTAGGGGTTAGTGGTTAGTGGGTTAGGGACTAGGGTACGGGTAGGGGGTAGGGAGGGGAAGGGGTGAGAAAGAGAGAAAGGGTGAAGGAATGGAGGGGGGAGATGGGTTGGCACGGTGGCGGGACGTCGCCGTAGGCCATCGCTGTGCCGTCGTTCCTGATGTTCATGAGTGGCACGTGCACCACACGCCACACGCTACACGCTACACGCTACACCTTGGGCCAGGGGGGCAAGGGGCGAGGGGCGAGCACGACGACGACGACGGCGACGACGACGACGCCGGCCACCTCCTTCTCGCCCTCCGCCTCCTCTTCCATCTTCTGCCATCCCCTTATCCCTTATCCACCCCTCCACCCGCGCATTGTCCTCCACCTCATCGACGCGTTCCTCCCCCTCCTCCTTCCCCTTATCCGTGATCCGTTATCCGTTGCCCGTTACTTCGCTTTCTTATCTCTTACTTCCCCTCGCACTCCATAGTCCTCGCCCCTCCGGGACCCCCCCTGCGCCCATCCCAAGGCGAGCTGGAAGGGGCTTTGGAAGAGTGTCGCAAGGTGGCCACGCGCACACGTCTGCACACGTGGAGCGCGCGGGCCGCCCGCGCGAGCACGCACCCGCACCCCAGGCAAACAAACTAGAAACTAGAAACTAAACTGGAACCGCCAGGTCAAGCACGGAGAGGGATAACGGCCACTGGGCGCTTATCTTCGCGCTCTCGCCGCACTTCGGGCGAAGCCCCATCTAGGATCTAGGAACCTCCGGCGCGAGGAAGAGGAGGACGAGGAGGAGAGGAGGAGGAGGGGGAGAAGGAGGAGGAGGAGGAGGAGGAGAGGAGGAGGAGGAGGAGGAGGAGGAGGAACGACGACGACGACGAGGGCGACGACGACGACGACGAGGGCGACGATGACGACGACGAGGAGGTGGAGGAGGAGGAGAGGGGGGGGGCGGGGCGTCTGGGAGCAGAAGGGGCGATGGGGGAGGAGGACAATGAACCCCCTCGCCATCCTGGTGCCTAACTTCATATCCCAGAACCCCTAACCCCTAACCCTCAACCCTTACTCCTTAATCCCTAACCCCTAACCCCTCAACCCGCTAACCCCTAACCCCTAAGCCCTAACCCTCAACCCCTAACCCCGAAGCCCCCAAGCCCTCAGCCCTAAGCCCTGACCCCATAACCCATAACCTGACCCCTGCCTCTAACCTCTAACCTCTAACCCTCTAACCCTCTGACCTCTAACTCCTAACTCCAACGTCTAACGTCTAACCCTCTAACCTCTAACCTCTAACCTCTAACCTTTAACCTCCACCCCTACCCCCTAACCCCCTAACCCCTAACCCCTCACCCGAACCCCTGAACCCTAACCCCTAAACCCTAAACCCTACCCCCTACCCATAACACTTAACCACTTAACCCCTCACCCCCTAACCCCCTAACCCCTAACCCCCCCTAACCCCTAACCCCTAACCCCTAACCCCCTAACCCTACCCCCTACCCCCAACCCCATAACCCCTAACCCCATAACCCCTAACCCCATAACCCCTAACCCCTAACCCCTAACCCCTAACCCCTAGCCCCTAACCTCTTGCCTCTTGTCCTTTGTCCTCAGCCTCGTTTCCCCCCCTCTCCCTCCTCCTCCCCCTCCTCCTCCGTCTCCTCTTGACTCCCAATGCGCTCCTCGTCCACCGAGGCCATGGCGGTCAGCGAGGCAGCGCCATCGCCATGCGCAAGGCTGCGCCACTGCCCCGATGGCCACGCGCCCCCCAGGGCGTAGGGCACAGGACGAGGACGAGGACGACGAGGACGACGAGGGATGCCGACGACGACGACGACGACGACGACGACGACGAAGACTAGGGTCGACGACGACGTCGACGATCAGCCCTCCAGCCGCCAGACCGCGGCGCCGAAACCGACGGCTCCGTCCCCGACGAGGGCCCCCCAGGGACCCCCAGACCCCCCATTCGGATTCCCCAGCCCCCAGCCGGACATCCCCCCTCCCCCGACTTCCTACCCCCTACCCCCCTACCCCCACCCACTACCCCCTTACAGAGTTCGGGCCCTGAGCCCTGAGAGCTGCAATGGCCTTCGGGCGCGGGGGCGGGGGAGAAGAAGGGGGAGGAGAGGAGGAGGCAGGGGTTGCGGCAGAGAGGGAGGAGGCGGCGGCAGGAGCTGCCCAGGGCCAAAATGGCTGAGGCTGCGGGGAGGGGTGACCGAGAGCGGCACCCCCTCCCCGCCCACCTCTACTCTCTACTCCGATTCCTCCCCACTCCTCTCCCCATCTCCCCTTCCCCCACCCCGTCATCGTCATCACGTCCCCAGGTCTTGCCGCTCTCGTTTTATCCTTTATCCTCCTCCTCCCCCTCATCATCATAATCATCCTCATCATAAGCATCATCAGATATCATATTCATCCTCAAAATCTTTAGGCTTTCGGCTTTAGGGTTTACGCGTTATGCCTTGATCCTTCAGGGATCAGGGGATGGTCCTCCTCTTGCCTCTTGCCTCTCGCATTTGATCCTCATCCTCGTTCCTCGCTCATTGCTCCCCGTCCCTCGCGCCTCGCGCCTCCTCATCCACCTCATCATCATCATAATCATCGTACTCAACCTCATCGTCCTCCTCCTCATCATCATCATCATCGTCATCATCATCATCATCATCATCATCATCATCATCATCAGGCTCATCATCGCCATCATCATCAGCATTACTGCATTACTCTCGCTCCTCCTCCTCCTCCCTCCCCCCATCCTCCTCCTCCTTCTCCTCCCTCCCCCATCCTCCTCCTTCTCCTCCTCCCCCCCATCCGCTCATCATCACCCGCCTCCCCGTCCTCCTCCGCCAACTGCCCCTCCCCATTCCCACGTGCGCCTCGCCAGGGGCTTCCCTGCTCAACGAGGCTCAGGAGCTACAGCACAGCACGATGTTCCTCCTCCTTTTCCTCCCCTTCCTTCTCCTTCTCCTCCTCCTCCTCCTGTTCATCCTCCTCCCCCCCCTTCACCCTTTACCCTTTACCCGTTACCTGTTACCTACCTTCTGCCCTCTGCCCTCTACACCCCTTCCTGCGCCCCCCTCCTCCACCTCTCTACCTTCTACCTTCTACCTTGTACCTTGTACATTCTACCTTCTACCTTCTCCTCCTCCTCCTTCTCCTCCTCCTCCTCGTCGCCCTCCACCTCCTCCTCCTCCTCCCCCTCCTCGTCCCTCCCCATCCTCGTCCTCCTCCTCCTCTCCGTCCTCGCCCCCCCCGCTCAATGCCTTCTCCCCCCCCCGTCGACTGCTTCCCCTTCGCTCTCGCCCCCCCTCGTCCTGTCGTGCCGCCCCAGGGTCCGCACGCGGCCCTGGAGGCGTCCCTACTGGCCACCGAGCAATCTGAATATGGGGAGGAGGAGGAGAACCAAGAGGCTGGCCTTTGTTATTTTTAGCTGATAACTTATAATATGCGCGCGAGTCCTCCTCCTCGTCCTCCTCTTTTTCCTCTTGCTCCTCGTATTCCTCCTTGCCCCCCTCCGCGCCCCCCCATAGTTTTCCTTCTCCCGTCCTTCCTCTCCGAAGCTCGGTGTGAGTTTACGGCATGGCACATATGCGCGTCGTGAGTTTACGGCATGCCGCTATGTTGGGGCCCTCGTTTTCCGAGTTTCAGTCATGGCGGGAAAAAGGGTTTTCGAGTTTCAGTCATGGAGTTTTTTTAATGATTTCAGAGCTCAATAGGTATGCCTTCCTTAAAAGACGAAAAGAACGCCCAAGGTTAGGGATCAGGATCTAGAGCGATTGACACAGGAAAGGGATACAGGGACAGGGAACGGGGATATGGATCAAGAAATACGGATAGAAATTCGGGATAGGGTCGGCATTGGGAGTCCACGGGGGGCAACGGGACGCAATGGGAAGCAACGGAGGGCCACGTGAAGCAACGGGGGATCACGGGAGGCAGCGGGAAGCCACATCAGGCCCCGGCGAGGCAATGGGAAGGTAAAAGAAACCATGGGAGGCCACGGGTGGCAACGGCAGGTCACGGGCGTCCGCGGGGGGCCACGGGAGGCAGTGGGATGCAACGTCGCCCGCCCGACTTCGAATCTGGCAGCGCGCCGACTAGACTCTTAGAAACTTTTATGTAATCCTGGCAGGCAAGCTAGTTAAGGAAAACGGGCGGTCCACTTGAGACCTTCAGATCCAATGACCACACTCTTGAAACTGTGGAACAGCTACGCGGAGGGGCGTTGTGCAATATCCTGATAGGGCTCCCTTCGCAAAACGGGGCACTCGCCAGAAAGGGCATGCTTGTGGGGCGCTTGTTTTTCAAGTGGGCGCATCCCAGCATGGGAGTTATGGACATATGAAGACGGGTATGGTATAGGCTTACTATTGTGTTCCTCCTCCTCCGCTTCTCCCCGAGGCCGCTGCTGCTCCTGCTGCTCGTCATGCTGCTCCTCTGGCTCCCCCTCGTCCGATTCGTCTTCACCCTACTCATCCTCCTGCTTGACAGTCGGCCTGGGCCAGCAAAACATCCTTCAAGATCAAGAGACTCTCCGTCGGCCAAAACAGACAGAACATCCAAAGGTACCCTCCCCAGGACACGCAAGAACGTCCAACAAAACACAAAGAGCACGAGGGTACCCTGCCCGACCCGACCTCGATCTTATACCTCGGTCCGACTCTACCTGCTTCCCCCGAAGGGTGCCGACAGCGACGACGACGGATAACGACGACGACCAGGACGATGACCACCACTACCACCACCGCCATCACGACGACCTGAGCGGCGGTGGCAGAGGCGGCTCGGACGTCGACGACGACGACGTCGACGACGAGGGACGACGACGGCAGCCAGGACGACGACGGCGGCGACGAGGACGGCGAGGGCGACGAGCGACGACGCCGGTCGGGCCGCCTGCTAGAGCGAGTGCGCGTCAGGGAGGCGGCGCCAGGGGTCCTCGCCCCCCATCCCCTCGCGGCGAGCGGCAGGGTACGAAGGATGCCCGGGACGGCAGCGACGGTGGCGACGGCGCCACCATGCCGCGAGGCACTGAGTGCAGGTCCCTCCAGGCGGCCCCAAAAAGAGCCACAAGAGAGCCAAAGAGGTCCCCCAAAGGGGCCCAAGATCCCCAAGAAGCCCCCAATAGAAACCGAGGGGGAAAGGGGGAACACGAACTGCCATTTCAACACCCTTCCCCCGAGATGGCTCCCAGGACTGCCACCAGCCCCCTAAGAGGCCCCAAGAGGTCCGTAAGAAGCTCCCAAAGACACCCAAGAGGCTCCGCGGGGCCCCCAAGAGGACCACGAGATGCCTCCAATACGCCCCGAAGAGGCTGCCCAAGAGGCATCGAAAAAGGCCCCTTGTCCCCGACCCGTGCACGGTGACGGGCCGGAGGCCTCTAGACAGTTCCTCCTCGCCGCACCACCAGACGTGTTGGTGGGGCGTGCTTGGCGTTTCTCTGCAGCCTTCCTCGCCGCCAGTGACCTTGAATCCTGGAACGTCTCACAGCTACAGAGATGCAGTGCGGGCCGCTTTCAAAATGTGGATCTTGCCTTGGCGCCGCGCACGCTGGTCATGCAAGTTCCCAACAGCTACTAGGATTGAAAACGATTTGCTTTCAACATGTGGCTCTCGCCTCAATGCCGCGCAACCTCGCCTTGAAGAAGCAACCGCTGACAAGATGGAGGGCGGCCCTTTTCGACACGTACTTCTCGCCTCAGCGCCGCGCACATTGTTCTTCCAAGTCCAACAACTATAAGGATGGAAGGCGGTTGCGCAAGTCGATTGGAAGAACTACCAGTCGAATAATTACAGTGGCCCACCCCTCCAAGCAACCCAGTCCGCCAACCCTGGCCAAACCCGGCCAAGCCTCCGACCAACCCTGGCGGCACACCCTAGTCATGGTATTATTTCGGATAGGCATCATGATTGCCCAAATGTTGCTCTCGCCTCAGCGCTGCGCATATTTGACAGAAAATGTTCAACTGGGGTTCTGGCTCGAGACTTCCTTCCGAATGTATGCCCAGGTCGCGGAAATTCGCATCAGTTCTACGGATTGAGGGCGGTTCCTTTCTCCAGACAATATCGCTCAAGACGTCCCAGACACGAAGAAATGAACGTGTACAACACATGCACGGGTAGAGAGCGGATCATGTTCAAAACAGGGCTCTCTCTAGACCCGTCCTTCACCAATGTGACCCTGCACCTTCGCATCCCGTGTGTCCAGAAGCATGCAAGGCCATTTTTTCGAAGCGGGCCTATCGCTTCAATGGCAGGCCGATGGGGCGCTTTTTTCCAGGAGGCACTTCCCGTCGTAAGAATGAATGCCTGCAGGGATTTCTGAGAAGGGGTCATGGGGCGGAAGGGTGCGTTGCAGCATCGTCGGTACGTCCTGGGTCGTCCCCCTCCTCATTCCTCCCCCTCTCCTCCTCCCTCCATCCCCTCCTCCTCCTCCTGCTCCTCCTTCTCCTCCTCCTCCTCCTCCTTCTCGAGTGGCTCGCCCTTCGCCCTCGTCACCCCTCCCCCCCTTTCATCCCTCGAGCGACAATGCGGCGTCGCCAGTGGCAGGCCCAGGCCCGCTGGCGCCGCCTCCCGCGTCCTCCTCCGCCCTCGCCTCCCCCATCCAGCTCCCCGCCTTTTGCCCCCCCCCCCCCCCCCTCCCCCCCTCCCTCCTCTTCTCCCGCCGCTCTCCGCCCCCCTCCTGGCTACCTACCAAACCACCCCTACCCAACCCGAAGACTCGAATTTCGCCAGAATTTCGGGTTCGGGGGGGGGTATGGGCTTCATGTGTGTGTTTTTTCTATGTTCCCCGACCCCCCCACCACTGGAAATGGGAGGCACATCGGGGCCTTCGGGTTGGGTTGGGGTGGTTTGGTGGGCGGTGACCTCCTCCACCACCTCCCCAGTCTCTCCCTGCAAATTCCTCCCCCCTTTCCTTGTCAGCGGCGTGGAACGTGTCCGCCCGCGGAGGGAGCCGTACACAAGAAACGGGAAACATGTGTTGGACAATACACGGAGGCATGCGCCTTGGAGGCGGCTGGGGGGTCCGAGCTGGTAAAACCCTGGAAGGATCGGTCACGAGGGGGCGGGGGGGGGGGAAGCCAGATCCGCGCCCAACGGGGACCCGAAAACCGGTGCTGGAGGCGGAACAGAGTCAACGGCCTTTCCGAGCTCAGAACCTCGAGCCTCGCCCCCCCGTCCTGCTGGCTGGAACCCATCTTCCCGCCGGCTCTGACAGGCGCCACTCCTCTCGAGGCCTCACGGGGGCCCCTCCCCCGCGCCCCCCCCCGCCCGCCTCCCGCCCTCGGCGGGCCTGCCTTCCCCATGCCCCCACCCCCGCCTGCTCGCAGGCGCAGCGCTCGCCCAGGCCTGCGGCGTCGGCGCCTGCCACCCCCACTCCGAGAGGAGGGCGGGGGGGGGGCGGCCGTCGCGCGCTGCGTCGGATCTCTCTCTCGTTTTTGTTTGCCCTTTTCTCTCTCTCTCTCTCTCTCGCTTTTTTTTTTTTTTGTTTTTTTCTCTCTCTCTCTCTCTCTCTTCTCTCCTCTCTCTCTCTCTCTCGCTCCCTCTCTCGCTCTCGCTCTCTCTCTCTCTCTCATTCTCTCTATACGTTCTCCTCTCTCTCTCTCTTTCCCTTTCTCTCGGACCGCATTCATACCTTCGACAGAAGCATCCGCTCACCAGAAAGCGGAGCTTGGCGACCTGCATGGGGTCGCACTCCCACGGACGACGACGTCCAGCGCCAAGGGCACGGAGTGGGCACTGACCACAGGGTGCGTTCAACGACCGCCACTCAAGGAGGTTCGCGCATCGCTGCACAAGGAGCGCTGGTCGACACGTCCAAGGACGACTCAGCCGTCGCAAACCTCCTCGCGACCACGCGATGGATGGATACCTTCTACCCTATCCCGGCGTTCACCACCGCCACCTGGTGGAAAACTACGAGGACAGGCAGTCGCCAAATCCTCGCCAGAGGCATCTTCGCCGCGTCAGTCCACGCCAAGGCGGGGGCCGACACGCCCTCAGCCTCGGGTGGACCAACGCCGCGGCTGTCTACACCGAAGAGCGAGCGTGCACCTACGGCCAAGACGTCGACTGAGACCGACGCGCCGCTGGCACGGGAAGAACTCGCATCGACTACGGCCTCGTCCAACTCTTCAGCGAAACACCCTGTCACGAGACTTCGCTTTCCTGCGCGACCTCCCAACCCATCAGCACCTCGGCCTCGCGGTCTCTCTCTCGACACCGATGCCGCCAAGCATCCCGCGAGGAAAGCTAAATTCGCGGTGCCCCACCCGCCGGCCAACCCTGCGATGTAACCGCAGGAACGGCAATCTCTGTGAGACCGCATCGAACATGCTGACTCCACGCGGGTGGGCGCGGCTGACGCCGTCGACGAGATCTTCGACCTCACAAACTAAGCGGCAAAGCGCCTCGCTTCCAAGATGCCTGCCCCGCGCCGCTCCTTCATCCTCAGAACGGCACGGCCAGTGGACTTTCTCTCTCTCTCTCTCTCTCTCTCTCTCTCTTGATATATATATATATATATAGATCTCTCTCTCTCTCTCTCGTGAGAGACAGAGAGAGAGAGAGACAAGTGGCTGCGACTACTCAAGGCCAAAATGGGCCTGGCGACCCACTGGGGGCACTGGAACGTTTGCGGCGCCGGCCATCCCGGCCTCTAGGCACAGGTCAAGATAGAGGCCTCCTAGACGGGGTCCGAGTAGATGGGGTCGAAGGATCGCGCCGCATCGCCAATGCATCGCCGATGCATCGGCGATGCATCGGCGATGCACCAGCGATGCATCGGCGACGTCGGCGACGCATAGGCGACGTCAACGTGAAGCAAATCGGGCTCCGCATCGAGCCGCATCGGAGATGTATCGGCGAGGCGGCGCGATCCTCCGAACCCATCTACTTCGACCCCATCTAGGAGGCCTAGACAAGAGCACCTGGGCCGTGGCCAACGCACTCGCTGAACGGCGCCGCGCCGCCGGCCTGGCGAAGCTGCCGCGCGCCTGGGGCAGCAACGAACTCTCCGCCGACTTTCAACTCGACAGTCTGATCACCCCCGCCACCGCCCAGCTCAGGAGGCGCGGCCACGCCGACGAAATCAGCCGCGCCAGCGCTCGGGGAGCGCGCGCGAGCCAAAGACGGAGGCAAAGCGAAAAGCCAGTGGGTCAAAGCGGCTGACAACTCCAAGGCCGCCAACCTCCGCGCGCCGCGCGACGGGCCACCGCGCGCGCCGCCAAGCGCAGACTGGAGCGAAGAAACGGAAAAAACACTTGTCTAGTCGATGACGCGGGTAGCACTGAAGCCCAGGTCGCCTGCCCGCGATGCGCCCGCGACCGCCCCGAGAAACTTCTGTTGGGACAGCGAGGCGACTCCGACGACTGCGCCCCGCTAGAGCGACTCAAGAAATCATCTTGGCCGATGCCGGAGCCGCGCTTGAAATCGTGGCGGACGCGCGGGGCCCATCCTGGGCAGAGACCGAATCGCGGGCGCCCGTTCTGAAGAAGCCCCCCGCAGAGGGAAGACTTCAAAGCGGAGCGCCACCGGGGACCCCCAATGCTGGCGCCAGCCCGACCGTTCAACCTGACTGATGAGGCTCTCGCACACTTCATCCACGCCCCCATCGCCGCCAGGGCCGGGGGCCTGGGCGAGTAGACCACGGCAGAGGGCAAGGCACCTTCCGCCAGAACCCCCCGCCCTTTCGCAAAACAAATGAACATTTGAGAAAACCTTGAAGGCCATGCAGCGCAGAAGTCGAATTCCAGAGCCCCTCCTGCGCGCGCCAAGCCCGCGCATGCGGATTGGGGAATGCGAGCGCGGTTCTTTTCCGCCATGTCCATATGGATGCACGCCTGAGATGCGCCGGCCCACCGCGGCCCGGCTGCCTGGAGAGCCCGGCGGGCCCGCCCAACTAGCTTCGGGGCGGCCCCGCCCGAACGCCCCTATTGGGGGCGCCAGCGCGACCCTGGCGGCCCAGGTCGGGCACGCGCGCCACCTCCAAGTTCTCCTGGCAGGGGCAGCGGTGGACCGGCAAATGTGTCTCGACAACCTCGCCACGGTCGCCCGCCTCAACCCGGCGCTGCGCGTGGGGCGCCCGCCCTGCGTCGCCCGGGCCAGGCGGCATTTCTTCGACAATCAATGGAAATGCACCCGAGTGGGCGAGGCCTACTCCAGACCTCTGGCCCGCGCCAGCGGTCACCTCCAGGGCAGCCGTTCCTCCCTCGGCGACATCGAATTCGCGCGCGCGTGGGCCGCGCGACGACGTCGGCGCGCGCCCCGCTCGCTCAGTTCGACTTTCGTCAGCGACAGCTACTCCATGGCCAGCGCGGCCAAGAGGCATCAAACGCCACTCGACGACGCTGTCCTCTTCGACAGGCTGCCCGGCCAGAAGATCCACGCTGGCAAGGTGTTCGGCGGGCGAAGAACCCCGCCGCCAAGTGGCCCCCCTTCAGCTCCTCGGGCAGCCGCTGCAAGCTCGCCACCGGGCCAACGTCGCACCTGTCAACCTCTGCGACGACGCCGCGTTCGCGGTCATCAGGCCCAAAGGGATGTCCTGGATCTCACAGCGGGCCCTTTCCGCTCCCCGCTCTCGCTCGCCCCGGGCACGCCGACGAACTGGGCGCATCGCGCAAAAGGGCGCCTTACTGGCACTTGGAAGGCAACAAACACGGAAATGTACCAGTCTCGACGGTGACTCCAGAGCGCTGCGCGACCACGCGCAGACCTCCCGAGGGCGAGGCCCAGTTGGTAGCGCGCGATAGATCAGTACCCCGTTCGAATGGAACTAGTCAAGCGACGGCACGATGCGACGCGATGAAGGCACCCTGCTGCCGTGGAAACACCCGCCAACAAGGTTGCTCACGCACATGATCCACGCTGCTCACAGAAGGCCCTTCCTCCGACGCACCCCGACCGTCGAGCGCGACCTGGGGGCCGTCGCCGCTGTCGAACTAGATCTCGACAACTTCGCTACCGCGCGGCGCCACCGTGTCAAAGGCAAGGTCAAGTGCGCGCCCTGGCAATTCGGCCCCCTCACCAAATACATCTGCGGGGGTGGCCGCGCCCAACAGAGAAAAGTCAAGGCTGGCATCTCGGCTGACCCATCCCCGCTGCGCAGATGGTGCAACCAGGGAGCAGAAAACCATATGGTCACAGTCTACAGATGCCCGTGCCCGCCGCGCGCAAGACTCTGCGGCCTTTTGCAAGAACAATTGCCCTAGCCGAGGGCGAGCTCCCGCAGCCTTCCCGTGCCCAGCACCAGAAGGCCCCGACGGCGACCCCTGCGAGGAACGCGCCGGTGGGCGCGGAGCCCGGTGGGCGGCCTGCGCTGCCGCCGATGGAGCCTGCCCCGCCAAGCCCGCACCGACGCCCGCTTCTCGCTGGGGCTGGCTTCGGAGGTTAATGCGGCCCGGACCACCAGCTCAGCTAATCTGCGCGGGTGCACTGGCTGGCCCAGTCCGCGCAAGGAGCTGAGACGCTGGCCGTGCCCCATCTCGTCGCCATGGCTGAATTGCCGGCTCACGTTTTCGTCGACAACCAATCCGTGGTCGACAGATTCGAAGACCCTCTCTGATAAACCACCGTCTTGAGCGGATGCTGAAGCAGAGCTCTGGCTTTCGATCCACCTGATCCTGCAGGCCAAAGCGAGACATGTTCAAAGTCCGAAAGGTTGAAAGCCACCTCGGCGAACAGGCATCAACGAGGGGCGCATCGCGCAAATTGCTGAAGTCTTGAACCACCGCGCCGACGAGCCCGCCGCTGCCAGCGCACGCCTGCACGCCCTTCCACGCGGCCTCATCAACACCGCCAAGTGGCGACACAAATTCGCTGCTGTCCTCCATTGCACGACCGCCGCCATCTATGACCGTCGTCACAAGACACCCCCATTGCTTCACAGATAAGCGGGATATTCTAGGGCTAATCAAGATGAAGCCCAACCATGTCACAACAGACCAAGCCGAGAACGAGCCACCAGGCTCATCAGGTGGTCCCGACCACCCAGACAGTCCACCAAGACCGAACTACTTCGACCACGTTGCTGATTTGTGGTCTAGCCAACTCGACTACCTTGATGGAGACAAACTCGACCCGCTCGGACTCGGCACTTCCGTGAACGATGGCGACGGCAACGACGAACACAGCGACCACGCTCACCCGCACGACGCGTGCCAATCGTCCCCTCCACAGGCAGGACCAGGCGGCTCGCGATCCCACCGCCCAGATCACCGTCACCGCACACGCAACCAGCTCGCCAGTTCCTCCTCCCACCAAGATGCGGAGAGCAACGGGCCAATCGCCACCACCGGCACCAGCGGACCGTCCGACCGCAGGCAACCCTGCACGCAGCACTTCACGGCTGCTACACGGCAGCCTGA